TAGTGCCCTCTTAGCGCAAGTTACGCCATTGAGACGTTAGTTGTCTCTTTTCTCAGTGGGAATAAGTTTTTATGGTTCCCGTAGTGGAGGGAATGTTGGTTTTCGCTTCTGCACGAGGCGTCGCCGGCCGTTGGTATCAGAGTTTGGACTAGCAGCCCGCCTATGCTCTGTATGTCTAGTTTAGTGGTTTTGACACGAAATACTCTAAACGGTTCCTCGGCGAACTTGACTACTAATAAACTAGAGAGGGCGTGTACATGTCATGCCGTCATGTGTCTTTGACATCGTGGGTTCAAGTCCACAGAGAGAGAGAGAGAGCACGGTTGTAAATATGATATCCAACGATGACGAGGAACAGCATCGCATCGTGGGCCAAAGCGTACGAAGCGAGAAGAGAGGGACGAGGGAGGGTTGTTTACTCTACGCAAAGCGCGGTTAGTTTGCCCATTCACCGCTTGCAGTGCAGTGCAGGCAATGTACTCGTCACCAACAACATCTACCGATATCTCTTGTGCATTCTAGACCTTGGACCTTGGATCTCTCCCTGCATGGACGGGCAAGGCAGTTGACTCCTGCCAAAGCCTGGAGAACGGGATATGCCAAAGCAGCCGCACGTGTTGCTCTCATTGCTCGCCCCGATTTTTTCATTCTCTTTTCATTCGAGAAGCATCAGCCAATCCGAGTCTCGCACTCAATCCCTGAGCTTCGGTTTGTCTGCCACGTCGGTCGCGTTCGCTTCGCTTCGCGCAAGTAAACACCACGTACGTATTGTACCAAGGTCATGAGAATGTCCAAAAATGGAGACCGATTGTTTGACAGATCCGCGACGTGGGGTACGTGGGAGATCCCTTGAGGCAGAAGCGTCACGGCATGGGGGTTCGTTATCACGACTTTCTGATAAGATGAGGCTGAGGCTGAGTTTGGGAAACAAAGACTGTCTAAAGACCGGAGATGTGGCATTCGCGAGTTTCTGGATCCTCGCTATCATGGATATCAAGCTTTTTTCCTTACTCACCTACCTAGACCGGATAGCTGGGTCAGATCAGACACCCATGATAACAGCGCTGCACTGTAAATCATCCATCACGCAAACCTTGGGGCCCTTGGCCCTTGTCTATCGTCGCATGATTCACCCTCCACTACCTTAACATCCATCACTGTTACCTACCTAACGTAGGCAGATGAGAGAATTAAAGGTGCTCGCAAGGACCCCACACGTCGGCCAATCTAATTCTTATCAATCAACCATAGTTAAGGGTCTTCCCATTCCGAAAGGTCCCCTACTTTGCGACCTTCTTAAATCTCTCGCGCCTCTTATCACCAACCGTTTCACAATCCATGGCTCAACGGTCGGTACATACATACAAATTACGGAAGAGAGAGAGAGAGACAAAAAAGGTCCCTTCCCAAAAAGGGTTGCGCGAGATTAAAAACAAGAAATGAAGAACGAGTCGGGATGAAACTTGGCATTGAAAGAAGTGACTGTTCTCGGAGGGACGGACTCGATGCATGTCATGTCATGCAGCGTCTTTTCTTCACATGCGGCCAGGATCCAAACCGGCCAGTGTGATGAGCTAGGGACGGATGCCGATGCCCCTTCTCACCGATCAAATGGTGATTTCCTCAAGACATGGTCTTTTTGTCCTTTTTCGTCTTGCCCTGGCTAGAAAGAGCATTTAACAGCCGCCGAGGCTTGTGACCCGAACCCGAATCCCGCATTCGGTGGGTGTCATCACGTCAAAATCTCTACAACGCGAGCAAGGATGGCGGGGTATCGGGAACGGAGGACGGAGATTGAACACACCAACATAATACATCTTGATACGCATCGGCATCATCATGGTTGCTATTACACTCTGAAACTATCTCGGGTGCCATCTCGCCATGTTATCACCCCAAATCATCATCTTGATAGCCTTTGGCTGGGCGATAGAGATCAACTCAATCTTCCCACGTGCTCTGGACCCCACGACATCTGATGATTCCGACCTTGGCTCAGGCGTGGGATGATCTTCCGAGAAGAAGCATTACGTTCCGAATAGACGGTATCTAGCCGCCTTGAAGGATTTCGAGGGGGGCACATTTGAGCATGCAGATTGAGTTATGGTTGCGACTGCGACCACTTCAAAACCAACACCATCATACGTTGGCTCGCATACATAGTGCCAGTTGTGAATGCTCCGGGATCGTACATATGTACATACAAAAGCCGCCGAGATTGAAAGTAAAGTAAAGTAAAGCTGCTGCGCCTGAAAGCCCCGAAAGTACCGCCATGAGGCCATCAACCCCACAACAAGGCTCACCGGTATGGAGTATGGGGAGTCCAATTGCAACGCAGTGCCAACATGCAGCATGCAGCGTGGCAGGGCTGCTGACACACCTGCTCTATTGGAGCCATTGGATGGTGATGCATCCTGCATTGCGTCCATGTATCGACAGACAGACAGACATACCGCAACCGCATCCGATGAACCGAGGTGCAGGTAAAATGAATGCCTTGGTCCCCTCAATTGTGTGTGCATTGTGTGACGGTCATGATTTGCAATTGTTGGAGGGAGGCAAACTATGACCACCTTGGCCTGGAGGGATCTGAGGCCCGTTTATCCAGGGGATTTCCTTGTTAGTTTGAGCCTGGACTGGACCGAGATGGATATTAACTTTTAGTAAAGCGTCTCGTCTGAAGTTTTTAGTAGGGGGTGCATGATGACGATGACTCTTGTTGATGTCAACTGTGGCAAAGGGCGCAGCGTTCGTGCCTGAGCAAGATCAAAGCGTCTGGAGTCGACCTCATCGCGAACGCAAGCTAGGATTGCAAGAGGAAGCTGGAGAGTAGAGTAGTTAGGCGATCTCTGGTGAGTTGCATCATTGATATCGCATCGCAATTATAGCCAATTGACAGGTTGGCAGCCACTTCTCCACGTCTGATGCTGACGCTGACGCCAGAGAGATCGTAGCCAGGGGCCAGGGAGGGAAAAAGAAGCCAAGTGCCGGATAGATGCATTAGCGCTGCACATGACACGTGCATAAAGGCTCCGTAAGTGCATACCTTCTCTAGTTTCATACTTTCAAACGGTCGCTCCATCTCCTATTTCCTAAATCGTCGACTTGCAGTTCTTGATACACCTCACCCGCTTCTACATTTACACGCTCTGTTTTCTGTTAATTTATTCCTGGTACATGGGCTCGCTCACACCCTTGTTGCTGCTTTTCGAGCAAACTCCGAGATTTCATGCTTCCCAAAGAGTCAAGACACCGTACATTATCACAGACCGGTCAACAAGCTCGCAGAGAACCATGACCGTGACCACGACCATGATACCACTAAATGCGGCATTATGTGCATTCTCTCTGCACGGACAAGTGTCACACCTTCTCGGATATTCCGTCATCAATCTCCCGGTCGCAACGGAGAATTAAAATGACGGGGTGTTATTGACGTCGCGCCAAAACGAGTTATGCAAAACGTGATCGTGGTATCGTGCGAGTCTTGCCCAACATGCAAGCACTTGAGACCGTTTTTTTTTTTTTTTTACTCCACGATGGATGGAGATTCGGCACACCCTGGCCCCCTTATTGTCATGTCATGATGCTTGCACCCGCACAAGCCAGTGAGCATGTGACTTGACCGTACGGTGTCCCTCTAGCATTGACGTAGAGTTACGTCTATTGGTGCAATGGGTGCATTGAGCGTTTCTGCGACAAGGCTGGCACTCGGTGATCAGATGTCTGGAGGATGTCTTGGATCGGAATATCGATCTCGACAAACAGTTTGATCCCAACGAATCACTTACTTTGTTTTTAGACATCGGAAATGCCGAAGTGGAAACTTCTTTACGGAGTATGGAGGTACAGCAAACATAGATTACGGAACCTCGATACGCCGAGACACAGATCCTTGATATCACGCTGATCGCGATCTCGTGCCATGTGCATGCTGAATATTGGCGACTTCTCTTTCGTTACCAATATACTGGATGGCCTCACGATTGGTGTATCGTAAACTCGGTGAGTTTTCTTTTGCTGGAAAACTGGTTATCGCGAGACAAGTGTCCACCGAGTTTGCTTCTCTTGCAGCTCTGCTATTGGTGTGTTGGTCGACACAACCGTTGCTTCTGCATCCAATCCCAGCTCCGGCTCCGGCTCCAGCTCAACCTCAGCCCCATTCCCAATGCCAGCATAACATGTGGATCATGGATAATGAACTGAAGATATAGCCATGCTTCACATTGTCTCGAGGTCAGGTGATGAGCAAACAAGCAGTTGCTTTTTCCTTTATTCAATGTGTAGGTTGGACCTGGTTGTTGGACGAGGCTTACATCGTTGGAGCTATCACATCTCAAAAAAAGCCACGATTCAGGTCTTCAGGCACGACCCCCGTCACGCTAAAGGGAAGGCTGCATAGGGCGCAGATCACGCTACGCTCAGTCACTATGGCTAGAGAAGAAGAATAAGATCTTGTGAAGAGCTAAGCTCAATTGACGCGATATGATCTCAGCTAAGGCGGCTGAGAGATGTTTCCGTCGTTCTCTTATTGGTAGTTAACCCTGTTGAATCGATCATAATAGAGGAGATATTCCCGGTGCCCGGATCTGATGTTGCAATGTGAGCGCCTATCACAAGTGATACCGCGCGTGAGATGTGCCTCGTAGCGTGGATTGGAGGTCCTTGATCGCGATGCCAGCTGAAAACGAGGGATTGACATCGTGCTTACGATGAACATCGCTGATTGCGAGTAATCCTGGGTATAATGGGCAAATCATAATTGTACAAGATGTCAAGGAACTCCTCGATGCTACTTTGACGAAGCCATCTGAAACCAGACATGTCATTACTCACTTCTGTCTTGTTACCTCCTCAGCTGGTGGCTTATCGTTTCCGCGACGGGATGTATCACTAATCAACTTAGATTGCACAATCAGCCATTAGCTTATGAGGCTTCCAGGTTGTCGTCCAACCAAACAGCTCATCGGTCATCCCGACTCGATCCTTCGTTACGCCTTCTACTTTTGCTTCTTCTCAGTTTCAGCCTCGAGTCTTCCGTCTACCAGACTTCCGTCAGGCAAGACCTTTTCCCTGGTTCGAACGTAGGCTAGCAAAAAGGGATACGCCAGATCACAAATGACTGAGGTGCCAGTGATGAAGACACCAAGAGGATGGAAAACGAAGCCGTGAGCCTCGGGCCAGTACCACCACATCAGACCGCAAGAGACGGGCAGACCCATGACGGTGCCAACGAAGCGACAGAACCTGGAAGCGAGATGTCAGCATGGCTGAGTTTTAGATGCCGTGTTTGTTCTGGGATTGCTTTTTCGGGTTGTCATCACGAGACAACAAGTGGAGGTTCATCCTACTGGTAACCAGTCGTCGGTATTGCTTGCGCGGTCTCATTCGGCAGACCGCTCTCATCTGAGACGCGATTTGCAGTAATCTTCCGAGTCCTTGGGATCAGAGAGCATGAATATGATAGATTAGATGAGAAGACGGCATGTATCGAGACACGCCCTCTGCAAGAACCGACAATTGCATATAGGAAATGAAGGACTTACCAGATTCCATAGCTCTGTCCACCAGAGTGACCTCTCTCAAGAAGCATAGCCAACGCCGAAACGCTGAATATCATCTGCGCCACACCAGCCGACCAATATGCCAACTCCGTAGTATCTCTCGCCTCAAGACCCTTCCAATTCTTGCCCCATTTGATACCATACCCTCTATGCGGCTCCTCAAGCCACCACCACGCAAACAACCCATTACCCACGACACCCACCACAAAAACGAGGAACAGCAGCAGCGCGATATTGTTCGCTATAAGCGGACTTGAGGCAAATGACCTAGGCGCTGTTTTGAGCGTAGCGTAGAGAACAACCAAATCGAGGAGAAGCCAGAGGATGAAGCCGTATGTCTCGATGGGTGCTTCGCACACACCAAAGCCGTAGACTACCTCCCATCCTAGATTGAGACCCAGTGCGACGAGCGGTGCGGGCGTCGCGTGGGTTGCTAGTGAGCGGCGGATCATGAGGATGTAGGCGATTAGCCAGAATGTTATGCCGAGGGAGAGGCAGGCTGTTGATGCAGGGACGAGCCATGGTGGTGCTGAGGGGGGTGGGATGTCTGATGAGCCCATTTTGTGGTGTTTGTTTGGGCGCGAGAGTGTTTGAGGTGTGCTTTGATGGTTGAGAGGTTGGAAGGAGATTGGGGGTGGGTGGTAGTTAGGATGATGGAGATATTGACTTTCCGGTTGTGCCGGATGATACTCTGTTGATATGTTGAGTTGTGAGTTGTTGACATGTGGACGAGGTTGCGGTGAGACGCGGATTACCCTATATTGGATGCCAGCCTAGGGTTGAGATGACACAACATCTCGCGGCGATTTCCATTCATGTACTCTGAATCTGGGCATTGTAGCTGATCTAATGGTTTCAGATATTAATGTGCATTTTGAGGTCCTTGAGGGTTGAGTTGTGGACAATTCACTGAGGTAATTGTGCCCTTCGTTTGCTCAATGCTGTGGAGTCACCTCTCTTCTGGAGGATGACCGAGTCGACTGGCAAGAGCAGAGAGACAAAAGACCAAGGCCTTATGAAATAAATATTGTTTTTCACTCTGAGGCTTCTGAATTTACCGTGCGGGCCATTTGTAGGCAAACGTCAGGTCTGGCTCTGAGGTCCATACAGACGAGATATACGAAACCACACATCGTGACTGATCAAGGTTGACCTTTACCACGTGTGATACCTGTATAGTAGTCTTGTAAAAGGTACAAATAAAGTCAAAGTTTGTTTAACTGAAAACTTAGGAGATGCTTGAGGCCGATACTGGGCAAACTTCCTCGACCAGTGCTAAACTCCTAGACAAACATATACTCTCGACTTCTTCTTGACGCATAGACATGCACTGTGACGTGCCACTGAGTCTGTAGTCTCAAACTCATATCTTTGGCAATGGGGTTGCAGATTGTACATGTAGTGAGAATGAAGTTACTCCGAAAGGAGAGATATTTTGCTGTGTCATCAGACGTAGAGGCTCGAGGGACTCGACAGTGGAGCTGAGTCCGAGCATGCGAATTCCCTTCAGGCTATGACACTCTGTCTCCTCACATATAAGTAGATAGAATATGAGCTTTTGAGATATCTGTCGCCAATATCGACCGTAATCTGGTGCCTGAGGTGAGACAGTCGTTGGCGGGCTCGACTTCCATGACACAACTGGTTATAAAGAGGCGGAATTTCTGCGAATAAAGTTTGAGAGAATGATTGCTACGAGTATAAAGTGTCTGAAAGCCCAGATCGGAGTTCGTCAAGTGTTTAGTGTACATTCAGGTGGCATGTTGTAGTCTTGCCGAGCTGAGTCAACTATGCATCTGCCTATGAGGACTGGCAGTTGCACAAATACTCCACAGCGGGTCGAAAGAAGAAAGTGTAGATGGGTAGATCAAATCAGTAGGTACATACAAGAATTCGGCTCAGAAGGTACCAAAGTAAGGGACATCACCTCCAGTTTCTTCCCGCAAGGGCCTCGCACATCACTTCAGTAATCAAGGAAACCCCAAGATACAATGAGCTGCCACAACGGAGTGGATTAACTGCGGAGAACATTACATAACTGATGAGGTATGCTCCAGTAACTTTTCTTATGATAGGAGAATACACTATATGCTCTTCGGCTGCCGTGACATGCTTATGAAGGGCACGAGACGGACGTTTGTGTTTGATACGAAACCAGCCGAAAAGTTGACCGTGACTGGGTATCAAGCAGTGTTTTGTTCTTATATCTTTGAGCCATGAAGGACGGTAAAGTGAGTGACGAGACAGTCAAGTCTCTTGTGGGCTGAGAAACAGTCTCTGGGTTTGACCTTGCCATGACACAATACGAGACTTAATAGATAGAAAACGGCCGTAGAACAACCTCTAAATACACTAATGTGTTTTTTATATCCTCTGTGTACTTGGACGACAAGTGGTGAGTGATTGGGGTCGCAGTGTGCAATGCGTTCTGATAATACTAAGCTTAGTGAGAAAGGCTTCAGACACCCACCAGGGACTCGTCGAGTTAATTCTGCCTATTCGCCTAACAAGCTTCCAGAACCATTTGTTACCTTCTGTAGTAGAATCTTATGGAGTAGCCCACAAACCGATACCTTGGCACCAGCCCGGGCTAAGCTTCTATGGAGTCGACGGAGGTGTTGAGGGCCACATTCGAGAATCACCTCCAGGCCCAGCTCACCATAGGGACCTGTATCATCTGTGTGAAATAAGGAGAAGGAAAGACTAACAATACCAGGTCATAGCCGACAATAAGTAAGCTAGATAGCCTCTGAGACTGGCAGCGGTTGAGTCCATCAGACTGATGCACGAAGCTAATGAAGTCTCGAGAGCTTGAGAGAAAGTCGGGGCCTTCTCCTGGCCTAACATTCACGACGCACGAACTAATTATTGATGCCCAAATGCGATGAGATGATCTTCAAACCCGATCAAGAGGCCTTTTAGTCAAAGCTAGAAACATCCCACTGTCCGAGTTAAGGAGTATCCACGTTCTGGTTCAAGATGTGATCTAAGACCTCACTTAACAAGGATACTTCAGGTCGGGGACATCATTTAGAGCCCAAGAGTCATTCTACTAACTTTGCAAGAGGCACAAATAAAGCCTCAATGTTTCATCCCACGTTTGAACCGTCCACAATCGCAAACATCTCCACCATGTTCACGATATTGATGCCAGACTGAGCTTTGATGACATTGTCAAAGCCTAACTCTGCTTTCAAGTAACGTAAAGAGTTGAGGGAGTCATATGATCAAGTCATGAGATTGATACACGTTATCTCATGGGGAACCAAGATCTTCATCAAGGCAGTGGGAAACCTATCCCTACCTTCACTTCGGAACGACGTCCTTCACCACTTCCCCGTCGCGGAATGAATCAAGACCCTTAACGGCCTAAAACCTCTATACCAAGTAACTGATAAGACTCCATACGTAATTAAAGCATCGTGGCAAAGCATAACTTGTGCAAGAGGATATCGCCGGCTTTGAAGCCGGTCCTGAATGGAGAACATTCGGGCCATATACACATCGGTGAGGATATCAGCACAGACAAAAACACTCGCTAACCAAGCTTATTGGACGTGAAGCCCTCAGCAAGCGGAGAAGCACTGGCGAGAAAGACCGACTCTTTCCGCTGAAGCGACGGGGACGTGAATTATGCTCAGACCCTCATGAGGCCCAACTCTGTGATGTGATGTGATAGGTATCCGGATTATCGGCCTTTATTACTTACAAGAGTTATTGTCATGATGTTTCTTTTGTAAATATGAGGATTCAGGATCTGCGGTGAGTGAGTTTGGGGAGGCCGGATGTTTTTACCGGCCAAGACTTTGGGAGATTGACGGATGCTTGGGGAGATGATACTTGCCATGTTGAGAAGCCAAGCTTCGGTACGAGACGGCTTGATGCATAACGATTCAGAGGGTTGATGAAGATATGATCTCACTGTTTTGACAGTGTAGTACATGATAGGCTGTGAAGGTGTCTATCGTGTTTGCTTTTGGACCGACGATAGTCGAACCGTTATCCATCGATTCCTTCCAGAAACACTGACGATCTTGGTGTATTGCATTCTACCCAAAAGACAAACTCGCATCGAATGATGCATTAGCACAGCCCACCCCTGCAAGCCGCAGAATTCCCAGATCTACAGGGTCAAACAAGAACCGGAAGACACCCATCTAGCTGCCGGCGGCAGAGCCTATAGTGCACCATTTAGGAAATAGCATGATTCAGGACATCGGCATTACCTCCACGCACAGGACACGTCTGTCGATAATATTTCGGTTTGGTCACAACATTCTTCAAACACACTGCGTTCTAATAGCCAAGAGAACGAAAAGCTGGAGTGCCCCGGATATCCCGAGGTGAAATTGCTGGGGGAATATGGAGATGTCCCATGGGGACAATGGACAGGTTTTGTTTATTGTACGTAAAAGCCGAGTGACTCGTAATATACCATCTCACTCTTTTCTGCCAAGACGAATGGCCTTGAATTAATAGGTTCACGAGAGTAAAAAAAGTTCAAGCCGTGTTCTCTTGGCAACGGACTCAGACCGAATATCGTATCACGGAACACCCCACGCCATAATCTTCTAGAATTCGACTAGAATTCCTTTTTGCTTTTCTTGCAGTGTGTGCGTGCAGGATGGATGAACCGAAACCCCTGAGGCAAAAAAGAGGTACATTGTCAGGGATTAGGAATGACGACATGAAGGACAGGGATGCTTGGGGTTATTTTCCGCGGTGAGGATACTGTAAGCCGCAGTGACTGACTCTTGCATGACATTGTAATAAGCTCATTCCTCAGTAATACGTAGTTTCGTTGACTCGTGGTTACTTGGTTGTTCAACCCATCCATATCTTCGATAAACCAGTTGACTGTTCTTCAGAAGAGAAAATACAATTATAGTGCTTCTTCAGTGGACTTCACCCCTGTAAATTTAAACACATCTCCAAAAATCTCTCCAAATTTCCCCAAAACAGCACATCAGTCCCCTCCCCTTGTTCCGCACCTCCAAGCCCCAAATCTTGGCGTGGCGAAAACTCAACAGCAGCATTTTCCATATCATAACAGAAACACAAGAACCCAAATCCATGCCCTTCAACTTCGAGTGGCATGATCCTCAAAACATCAGACATATTAAACAAAGTTGCTATGGAAAAAAAGAGGCCAGAAAGGGAATCTCCACCTCGGGTCCATGCTGCGGATTTAACCCTCTCTCGGTAACGTGCCCGTCAGCCTCGAATTCAGTGAAAAAAAAAAAGTTTTGAAACTAGGTAACTTGTAGCTTTATTGCCTTTTTCGGATGAGTGTAGCCAAGCTTATTGGAGCCACAATTCAAAGGCGAACAAGCCATCGACAAGTACATATTGTCCCCAGAGACTCATGAGAAGACCCAATTCATGAGAAGGTATTGCAGTAGAGTACAGACATCATGGAGTCTCATGGATACCATGATGAAGATCATTCATGATAGACCCTATAACTACCAAGTGATGACAACAGCTTTAGATACATACACCCAAGTCTACAGCAACATGCAGATCAGTCATTACTAACGGCCCGGATTTATAGCCCCAAAACAACGGGCAAACCGGTCCAGTCTCGCTGCTGCTAATCGGCTTGGGATTGTCATTGTCATGTACGTAACATGACGGCCTTCTAGCGCGTTCCCACCACTCCGATCCCTTTCCCATGTCCCCAGCTTTTTACTCCATCAAATTGCACCATGCAAATACCTAACAGAAACGCTCAATTCAAACCCCATGTAATCCCTCACTAAGAACGTGGAGTGCTTTGCCCCAAGGGTCCTGCATCTACTCTACGGCGGTGCAGCATCAAGTGAAGAGTATCTCCTCACGAGAGAGAGAATCCACATGGGGAGATTCGAGGGTATGAGATGATCATCACAGCTGACTTGTTACCTCATAGTCTAAACTGAGTACGAAGAGAAGAACAAGGTATGGTTTTGCCCCCAAACGGACTGATGTACTACTCCGTAGATAGGTACGGCGTAAAGAAAGAGGGTCTCCCCAGAAATTCCAAGGCTGCCCTTTCGCCGACTACAAGTCCTATCTTGGTGGAACCCGCTCCCCCCAAATACCAAGCAAAGCACGGCCAGAATCCAATCTCTACGCGGAGCTTAATGAGGGAATCCCGAGCTTCTATCCGACCTACCTGTCTGCTTAGCCTTGCTAACTCAGTATCTTATATATTCCTCTTCCATCTCTGTGTTTAACTTGCACTTCATCCTCCCCTTCCTCCTCATCCATCTTATATACCCCATCATATATCATAACTCATGTGTACTCCCTAAGCAAGCAAAGTCTGTTAAATATAATTATATACCCACCATATACACATACTCATCTACACGCACATAGCCGCCATCATGTCTACATATCCTCAAGACGTCCACAACGACATCTACCCTTCAGGTCAAGGCCACGACTCCAGCAAAACAAACAGCAAAGAGAAAGTACCCCTCGACCATGAAAAGGGCCACGATATAGATCTTCACTCCGCCCACAACGTCCCCGTCGTAGACAATGGCTTCGGCGGCGGCGAGGGCTCCAAGAACTTCCGCAACATGACAAAATGGGACACCACCTTTGCTCTACTTACCAACCAAGTCGGTCTCGGTGTGCTGTCGTTACCCAGCGTCCTCAAGACAATGGGTATTATTCTTGGTCTTATTGCCATTATCGGCATTGGTCTTTTATCGTGGTATACTGCGTTCGTGCTGAAGCAGTTCTTTGGAAGACATCCTCATGTGTTGAACGTCGTTGACATGACCAAAGTTGTTGGCGGTCGTCCTCTTGCTATCGCCTCTGGAATCGGTCTGTTGGTCCAGGTGATCATGACAGCTGCTTCGGCGAGTGTCACGCTCTCTATCGCTTTCAACACGATCTCCAACCACTCCATCTGCACTGTGGGCTTCATCGGCGTCGGCTGTCTCTGCTGCTGGGTCCTCTGCGCGCCCCGAACCTCCAAGTTCGTCTCGCAGTCCGGCATCCCCTGCATGGTCTCCGTCATCGCCGCTTCAGTGCTGGTCATGATCTCCCTCGGAGTCAAGAACCCTACCGCTGCGCCCGTCGGTTGGAAGAAGGACATTAAGATCGTAGCGAACCCCGACTTCCGCTCTGGCCTCAACGCTTGCCTCAAGATCTGCTACGCTTACTCTGGTAACATCAACTTCGTCACCTACATGGCTGAGATGATCGACCCCGTCAAGGACTTTGGCTTTGCCCTTGCCTGGTTGGAGGTTGTGTCCATCACCTTCTACGTTATCGTGGCTATAGCCATCTATTGTCTTGCTGGCGAGTACACCGTCTCGCCCGCCCTCGGCTCGGCTTCAGAGAACATTGCCAAGATCGCCTACGGCATTGTCCTCCCCGCTGTTCTGTCCACCGGACTCGCCTTTGGCCACACCGGAATCAAGTATGTGTACGTCCAGGTGATGAAGCACTTTAAGCTCCAGAGCGAGATGACTGCCAACAATGTTCGCTCTTGGTCCATCTGGATGACCATCGTGACCGTCTTCTGGGCACTCTGCTTCATCCTCTCCAACGCCATCCCCGTGTTCGACTCTATCTTGTCTATTGCCTCGGCGACTACCATCTCGTGGTTCACATTTGGCTTCAGCGCCGTATTCTGGTTCCACATGAACTGGCACCAGATGCTTGCCAGCCCCACCAAGATCCTGTTGACCTGTGTCAACGCATTCCTCATCGCCATCTCAATCTTTATGAACGCGGCTGGTCTGTGGTCATCTATCACGGAGCTGTTGGACCTGTTTGCCAACGACTCCAGTTCCATCCAGGGCGTCTTCGACTGCGGAAGCAATGCCCTCTTCTGAGCAGGTCTCGGACTCGTGTATGAAGTAAAGTATCCAGTTATTCTTTTCGTTTAGACAGCGGGAATCATTCTTTCACCCTTTGTAAGAGCATTACGTTGGTATCTCCTGAATTCTGTCATCCCTGTATATGTGTGTCATGTTATTTTCAGTCAGCGTTTGTTAGAAACTGTTATATAAGAGAAAATCAAATAGTGGTTCCACGTAACGTGTGGTGATCCAATTGTGTTCTCGTGAAGTCACCGGAGACTCCGTAGTGGTAGTCTTGGCAGGAAATCCAAGACGCGAGCCTGGGATATATATGTATCCACAGCCGGCCGAGTCGACGCTCACGACCACAACCGGGCCGGTTGATGGCAGTCATAATCATGTCCCGAGCCAAACCGGTTCACGTCGGTAGTGGATCGTCGTTGACACAAGGTTGGCTTGCCTGAATCTTTGATGGATCGGTAGTGGATCTCATCTCAAGGGAATCACGTTGAATGTGGTTCCATTGCCAGGATCTTCGGATGCTAAAGTGGATTTGCCGCCAAGCCACCCGCTGACTGCCTGACTTTGGGGCGAGTGGGACCTTGCATAGCGTAAAACTTTGCTCGAACCGCCTGCATGCGGCTCTTTTCAGCGCATGAGCCTCCTGGAACTTGCACCTGCGAGGCTGAAGTGAACATGGTCTGACTCGTGATGCGCTGGGACAATGCCACTCGCAATAAGCTCCACGACTCGTCGTCATCTGCCCTATCGCGTGCAAGGTGAAGGGAAAAGGAGAAATACCATCCCCTTGTGTCTTCTTGAGCCGACGAATTCCGGTGTTCGCGTTGATCATCAGTTTCACCATGCCTCAGCCATCAAGTGGCTAAGCACAGCGGCAAAAGTCGTCCATATCTTATCGTGACTCTCAAAGCCATGGTCAAGGCTCAAGCTGGTCGATCAGCAATCGATAAGAACTTGGCGATAGAAATATTGGTGTTGAGGCTCTGCGGAAACCAACTACCGATGGATGGTCAACGCACTGAAGAACAAAAAACTTGGTGATATTCAGGCGACAAATGGGAGGAAATCATGGAAAACGCCACAACTAAACCTGTCTGACAATCTCCAACTCAACTTCACAATCTCTCGGTGGCTCACGGCCTCGTTATATAATTCTCACCCTTGGACCTCTTGGAACCGGTACAACACCACGTCGGCGTATTTGTCGTCTTGTGCCGGTCCAGACAGGGTATTTCCGCCACGATGTCCTGCGACATTGCAAGTCGTGCTCTTATTCCTGTCACTATTCAACTCCCAAGTCCCACTGTTCCTCCACTCTTTGCCGGTCCCTCTCTTATGCCGTGCAAGTGCACATCAGCATCTCATGAGGCTCTGCCCAAACCTCCTCGCTTGCCTATTTCCATTAGCCCATCGATTCCAGTTGTTCACGCCATGTAGGATCCGCCCTCATTTCACAATTTCGTCTTTCTCGTTCGTCTTGTTCTCGATTGCGTTTCATTTCAGGTGGAATGCCTCTTTCTATTCCGGTTTCTTTGTCAAACACATTGGCTTGGCTTGTTTGTAAAAATGTACAGTTCCGGCCCGGCCCTATACCCGGGAATATTTGTCTGGTCCTCTAGTTGCTTCGTGCACCTCCCTTTGACTCCCTCAACTCGTCCATCTTGGCGACTCGCTTCTTGAACTCGACGTACTGGCACTTCTCGTAGCTATGTCGCTCATCCTAGTCAATCCCTCTAGCGTAAGCATGGTGTCTTATTGATATTGGTATTGGTATCTCGGTAATGATCGGCTTTTTGGTTGGGCGGAAGCTTGGACGGGCTGGGCTGAGCTTGGTGTAGCGGCGGACTTGGGCTTCCTTCGGCTCAAGCTCTGGAAAAGGGTAATTGACTTACCGAGCACTTCCAGGGGGCATACCACGTATCCCGTCGGCACTTGTTGAGAGGAATCAAGAGGTGAGCGCAGCTGTCTCGGTAGGCCAGAGGAAGTTTGGCATCGCGCATCTCCTCGCGGGTCGCTTCTGCTCAGTAAGTCAGCGGTCGATATTCGGTAGGAAAAAGTCGCTCGAGTATGAGTAATCGGGTCGGTACGTACGCCGCGGCTCGGTGATAGCGTCGGAAGCCATGGTTGCTGATCAATTGGACTTCGAGATGTGAGGTTGTCTTGGATTGGCAGAGCTGTCGTGAGATGCTCTTTCGGTTCAAAGTCGGATGCGTCGGTTTGTGCCTTGTATTTCCGGCAGAAATGGATTTCTGTCCAATGAACACTCGTGAATTACCATGCCGACTTCAAATCACCAAGTCGCCCTGTGCTGCATTGAATTTAATGATAATGCTTCTTGGAGTGGTGGTAGTATTATTTTCTTCGTGTAACTCTGCCTGACCTCTTGTACTATTTGTTGCGAGCCTGAGATGATCACGACTTCACCTCATCTGTGCCGGAGATAGTGGGGCCGTTCACCACCGGCTCCGAACCTGCACCTTGGTGAAGAGACAGACATTCAACCAGCAAGACAATTGAATTGCACAATGCTCTACTTCATCTTTTTCTGGTTTCTTGCTTTCTTTGTCTTATACGTAATCTTCAATCCACGAACTTCTACCTCCGGTCAATCAGCATATTGGCATCTAGCACTTCATCGCAGACAGTTCTATCGACTGACGCTTTGACTTACAGTTCGCAAGGCACGACAAGCAAAATGATCAGGCTTCTCTGAAAGCTTTCCTTGGAACCCTAATGTTCTCCGGTAGGCCTACTAGAAGCGCTGTCTGTCCACTTAGGTTTGAGCCCATTCAATATTCCTCACAAACTGCTTAAGGGTGCCGAAGGAAAGCAAGCTTTTGATCTCGAGGTCTGCATCACGTAAGAAAAACACGATGTCAGCGCATGCCCAGCTTCGGCGAAGCTCAAATATATCACAAGGCCATATATTCCAGTACTCCACCCTTGGTTTGATAAAGTCGTGATGCATGACCCATGCCGACAAAGGCCGACTCTCGATCTGTCTCACATTAATCACGCCACTTATTATCGAGAAGAAACCTCGTTATATATTCTCTCACATTTATTCTTGACTTTATCTTAAGTAGCAGCAGATGCTATAGATTATCTTTTGTAGACTACTAACAGTACCGTCATAATCACGAGACAGCCCCTCAGGTCCAATGATGCCACTCCAGGCCCTCACGATACTCATATCCAACTTGAGGTCCTTCAGCATCAATCAAGTATCCGTACTCACAACGATCGAATCGAACTTTCACCTGCTCCTTATAGAAGGCGTTGAATTTGGCCTGAAGAGCATCCTTTAAGCTCGTCACGCCACCCTCCGGATGCAGAGTCTTCCATGGTTCAATACATGTGTTGCCTTTACATGACTTCAATACGAGCATTAGAGCATCAAGGCGATTGAGGACCTGCCCGGCAGTGGTTCCCAGGAGTGCAACGTTGGCCTTCGAATCATCGTGAGGAAACAGGTTGTCTAACTGTCCTGGGTCCGTCTAAACAATATGAGTATCGCTGATCAAGACCTATGGGGACAACGTACCTTGAGGTCGTAGAGCTCGTGCTCATTGTTACACCAAGCCGAGTAGTAAAGACTGTAGTCCTCATGCACTATCCTCACACCCTTGTATGTATTATTCTGTGCAAAGATCTGGCCTTTACCATCTGTAGCACTCTGTCAGCGTATTGACCTCAATATCAAAGGTCGACCGAACACACCAAAGCCGCCAATTTCACCCTCAGCGATGGCACCGCCCCAGTACTCGACCGCTACGTGCTCATGTCGCTTATTCTCCTGAGTGAGCAACACCGGAATAGGAGTTCCGTCAAAGTCGCTGCGAAGGTCCGCACCTGCGAGTCTGAGAATCGTAGGAGCAAGGTCGATGTGTGTAGTCACGGCATTCTCGATGGATCCGGAGGATACACCTGGACCTCTGATGAAGAGTGGTACGCGGATGTCTTCGTCAAAGCCACATTCCTTACCAGGAGGCAGTCGGTGCTGGCCCAGGTGGTACCCATTGTCAGAACTGTAGATGATGTATGTCTCGTCAAGTATGCCAGCATCTTCAAGCTGCTTAGTCACTTGCTCTACAATCTCGTCGACACCCTGAAGAGCCTGGAGACGAGCTCGGTAGAAGTCATCAAGATACGAGACTGATGAATCGTTGAGCTGGGCGAGTTTGTGAATCCAGCTCACGCCACTAGGCTGTTCCACTGTCAGCATTGGCTCTAGTCCAAGTCTCATTAGAACTTACCGAGTCCGGGTTGAAGTTTTCCGTCCTTGGGACCTTAACCTCCTCAAAGAGATGAGAGTGTCTCTCAAGAGGAATAGGAATGGTCATAAGAGGTGCACTCGGATTTCCAGGTTGCCGTCTCAGGTTAACGTTGGAGTGCGGCGCAACAGGGGCAATTGCAACGAAGAATGGATTCTCGGAATCAATGGCTTCCTTGAGAAGTTCATGTGCATGCTTGTAAATCAAGTCTGAAGTGTGAACTCCTTTGTGTTGAACTGGCGGCTCCTGGTTGTGTTGGTAGATGGGATTCAGATAGTCATACGTGCCCGGGTCAAGGAGAAAGTTTGTTCCCGTCCATCCTGCAGGATAAGGCGAGTTGTAGTTGTTTATGGTATGAGCATTGAAGAGCTTGCCGGTGTAGTATGTGTTGTACCCGGCTTCCTTTAACCATACAGGCAAGTAGTTATCGTTCAGTCCTTGTGAGACAAACTTAGGGAAGCCACCTTTTTAATCAGCGTTTTTTCTTCATCACTAAAACCTTCAACGTACCATATGGTGGATTGACGTCTGTTACATTCGTGTTATGAGGTTGTTTTCCTGTCCAAAGTGCAACACGAGATGGGCAGCAGATGGCTGTGGTGGTGAAGTGGTTGACAAATGATGTGCCCTTGTCAATGATATACTCTTTGAGTTTAGGCATATAAGAGACGGAGTCTAGGACAGCGTCTTGGTCGTCTGTGAGAATGAAGACGATGTTCTTCTTCCCACCAATGCTTGTCTTTGGCTTGCTTGATACAGCGTCATTATCTGGCGTCAGAACGGCCTGGTCTTCTGCTTCGTAGTTGAACAACGCATTGGTACTTTGGGAAAGCAGAGAGCTTGCTAACAGCACTGGCTGTATCCAAGCTGGGGGTCGCATGTCGATGAAACGTCAAAGGCGTCAATGTAAGTGGACTTCTGCAAGACAATTAGAAGGGTGGTAATACAATGCCTTCTGGCTCGGTCTTTCGGTATTTTTCTCGAGAGGGCAACTTCTATTATGGGATTCTTTCAATGTCCATCGCTACAAGAAATATCTATCGGAAATACCGCTATCGCAGGTAATGGCTTTATCCGCGGATGGTGTTGTCCAGGGACTTGATGGCGTCAACGTTAGTGCTTGCATGATGTCTAGGGAGGTAAGAAAACTCAGGACCCTGATCCTAAGTGACAAAAAGAGCCCGAGTAATGTAGCAAAAGTTCAAATACATCTTGCTGGTTTTATTTTGACATCATATTTTAAGCTCCGATGTTTTCTTTCTCCACAAGGGAGGTTTACCACTAAACCACTAACAACCCCACTAAATTGGATCCGAGTGGAGGAGAGATCCGAGGAAGCTAAAGAGCCAACCCAACTTCAACCTGAGTTCCACGACTCGCGTCGGCGAGTCTCGAGGCAGCGACGGCAAAGCACGAGCTCACACTCTGGGCAAGACAAGATGTATTGCCGCATCTCACTCCCACAATCGTCGCACTCATCTTGACCCTCCACACGGTCAAAGGGTCTGTAGTTTCGGTGACGGCATCCAAGGGCCGCAACAGGTGCTGCCGCAACAGGTGCTGCTCGTCTTACTCGTGGTTGTATCTGTGCAACAATAGCAGCAAGTTCTCCTGCCCGCCCCAGGAGGTGACGCTCATTCCACTGGGGACAGTTACAGGTCTTCCACTGCCTCCCGCACAGATAACAGAACTGGTGGCCGCATCGACAAGCTATATCATCACACAAATGGTTAGATATGTACGGAGCAAAAGCCAAAATGAGGTACCGTATGTCCGATAAACTTACAGATGTGGAAACAGCCATGGGTCAGTTCGACCATGTTCTTGCACTGTTCACAGCGGCGCCATCCGTTTTCCTCCGCCAGGCGAACAACTCGTTGTGACTCGGAGTCATCGGCACATGTACCCTCATGTGCCTCGCTCAGACAATTAAGGCACGTCCTTTTCTCGCAGCGAGTGCAGCGGGCATTACCAGCATGGATGTAACTCAAAGGTATGAACGCAGAGCATGTCCGGTCGCTACAGTAAGTACGCTTGGTGGTTTCGAACTCGTCGCGTTTGTTTTCATACTCGGTCAACAAGTCCTCTGGAATGAAGGTGTTTGTTGTGTCCATAGGAATAGCCTGACCGCAGCACTTTGGCGGGAAGAGAGATTCGTCTTTCATCGCTGTCTGAATGCTTCTGATGAGACATGGCTGGCACATTGCGTGGGCGCAGGGCGCTTCGAAAACCATGTCGATGGGGAGCTTGTCGGTGCAGTAGAGACACTCCTTTGTCTCGACATGTAGGTCTGGAGGAGCGGGAGGTGCAGCCTGAGCGGTTCCTGTGTGCTCGTCGGCATCTCGCTCTTCCTGAGTGTCCTCGGGTTGAATTCCGTTGATTTGGCTATCCTCTGCCTGGATCCCAACTTCGTCCATGTGGAAGACGTCATCTTGAGAAGCTTCGTAATTGCTTTGGTCCTCGGCGTCAACCTGTGGGTCATCATCAATGGTACTCCCAACATCCGTTTCATCTCCTCCAGCAACACTCGGGGCTTCGTGGGTTTCCTCGTGAGTGGGTTCCGCCTCAACTGCAGTGCTCTCTTCTTGCTGTACAGCGATATTGAAAGCTTGCAATGTACGATACGTTTCGTCATCAAGCCCACCATGATCAACGCCGCCACCTTCTTCGAGGATGGCATCTGGGTTCTGTTCCAGCTGCCTAGCCAATTCGAAGTCTCGTCTGGCTTGTTCTTCTTCACGAATGAGGGTGGCAATCAGCTCTGCATCGGCCTCGACGGCCTGCGCAATGCTGAGGGCGATCGCGTGGTCGTTGGGATCATCCATTGTGGAGGTTGATGGTGAGATGGGAATGAGGAAGAGAAATAGAAAGAGAAAGGTCGGGTCTGCCGAAGAAACAAGGTCGTGGGCTTCTAAAGAGAAGGGGAAACGGCTTTTGGTGCAGGCGTTGGCAAGCGGCAGTGAACCACTCGCGCTGCCTGACGGCTGGCTCGCAGTGCCAAAAGTCGGAGAACACCTCATATCCCATTTGAGGGTTAGAAATCCATAATACTTCATGTGTTCCTTGTGTCAGTACCTGAAAGTCGTTAGACCAAGCCAAAAGCACAACGAGCTGCTTTACTTTGACACTGTCTTCCCATGTGATGTAACGAACTGAACTCTTCCCCAAGCTATGATTGAACCGAGGGCAGACTGATATCATCCTGGTAATTTATTGAACCTAGGGTTTGTAAGAGACTGTAGTAAAGGTAAATGCTATATATAATACTCGAGGCCGATAATATATAAGATAGAAAAGAAATACTTAATGGGATCAAGTCCAGCCCGTGAGAAAGAGGACTATTTATAATAATCTCTTCAAGGTAATTGCCCTTGCACTTGTCACCAGTTTATCTTTGCTGCTTCGGTAGATGGTGTATGCATGCTGGGTAACAAGCCAAAGCACAAGCAAGCCAACAAGCATGTGAAGACTAATGATTGTTTACATGGGTTGAGAGACTACGTTCATAAGTACACGATTTATCATAGATACTAGACCTTCCATCATCTTCGGCTGCCGCATCCTGATAGTCAGTCTCTCTCTCGCGTACACCGTCGCCGAGTGTCAACTGAACAATGTGTCACAAAGGAACAAACTTTGAGGGCTTGTGGATGGAAACGGCAAACAGCCAAGCCATATATCTGTACGTATGTACTCAGGATAATTGCTCATGCTCCGTTTGTTCCTGTCGTTGCCATGGAACTGGACTTTGTGCTGATCGACAGGCTGCCAAATCAAAGGCCGTGCTTGTCGGATAGTCCCACTCCGTCAACAGCCAAGAGAGAAGCCTAGCCGCCTATATCCAGTCTCAAAATAACCCCCTTCTCCTTTTTGGTATCATGTTTCGACTGTTCTTGTCGAGTAACGCAGACCTCTTGAGTTGATGCATGCCTAACTGGTATGGAACAAGTTACGGAATGTGAAGATACAAAGCCTAGTTTCTCTTTTGCCACAGATCTCAGATTAATGATTAACTTTTATTCGAGATAAGATCTCAACAACAGAGTCCATGAAACAAAATACCCTATGAGTCAGTCAAATGCATGCAAGGTCCAACTCCACGATCACTCACTTAAGCATACTCCAACCTACCATTTCAAACAACACATCAAATCCCGTCACCCAAACCTTCCAAGAGCATTATCATCGCCTAAAATGCCTTCTACCTTTCTCTTCTCATCCATTTCCCCGGTCCCGTCGTCCACTGGCTCCCGCTATCCCCATCTCCAGGACCACCAAAAATGATTGGCTCTCGTTCACCCACGGTCAAACACCACAACAGAGAGCAGCCTAGCAGATTGAAACAAGTGTTTTCGAGTATTTCTACATCTGAGCCTCTCATGGTATTCGCGTCGCGTTCGGCGCGGTGCATTGATGGCCAGTGGTTGTCGGCGCAACGGCGTTGGGTGAGATATTGACTTACGATATAAACCGTGGGTCAACACCACCAAGATTAACTCGACAGTCTTTTTTCAGCGTGCTTTCTTCTTTTTATTCTATTGCAACTAAATCATTCTCATCACTTTGAGTATTTGGCTTCTCTCGTTTGAGCCCTGTTACACTATACCGCCAATATCATTAACACCATCTTTGGTCAACTCACTATATACCCTCTCTCACCACCACATTCTCTCAACTTCAATCTTTAATAATCATCATGTCCGACATCATCGCCTGGCTAGTCCCCACAGCGCGAAACTCACTCGCCGACAAAACAACACATCTGCCCTCCAACATCTCCCGCGCCGTGCAAACAACCTCATCTCCAACTCTGCTCTCTCGCCTCCCAAACCTCCTCGGCAGCCGTCCCTCTCGCGCCATCAAACTCTCTTTCGACAAAGCCCCCAAACGCCCTGGTTCTTTCGTTCTCGGTTCCGATTCTTCAATATGCGATGTTGTTCTGCCATCACTGCCAGGTATTGACGCACGACATTGCGAGCTGAGCTTTGATGCAGAAGGTCGTCTTGTTCTTAATGACTTTTCTGAGATGGGAACACAGGTTTGGTATGATTGGGAGAGCAACGGTGATCAGACAGATTATACCTGGATTCTGAGTTCAGGAGCTGAGGCTGGGTTTCCGAGCATGGTGCAGCGCATCACTGTTGATATTCAGGGTGTGAGGTTTCAGGTGGTCGTGAACGATCACTCTGGTGACTGGGACGCATATCACGACAAGGTTGAGGATTTCGTCCGACAGCCTTCATGGGCGCATGGCCTTTCTCCCGGTTGGGATCGAGGATCGATATCCCCTGTTGCCCCTCTCTTCTCCAACGTCCCTCTCTTTCAACACATTCTCGTCAAGGCCTTGGGCGAAGAGCCCATCGGAGAAGTATATCTCTGGAACTTGGCTCGACCATGGGAGCCTATGGTCAAGGCTGCTGCATGAGCAGTCTTTTATGTATCACGTATTCGGCGTTAAGGATTGGGTCGTTTTTGTATATAAGTACTGGGCAGGATCCTTTGTGACGACAAAGGCAGCGATCTTTTAGCATTAGCGCAAACTTTTTGATAGCAGTGTTCATCATTAAATCGAGGTATCACACAACTCCTGGCTCCCTATAGTCCCATGCTTTTCTTTTACAGATCCTCGGGCAGCGCCAACACCTCGCGCTTCTCCGCCTCGTTATCCTCCGTCTGCTCCTCTCCCTCTACAGCGAAGCGCGTCATTGCGAACTCGGGAATACGTCTTCTCTGGACGCGCTGGCTGCCCTTCTTGCCCTTTCGCATCTTGGCTGTCTCTGCCTCTTCAGCGACAACGGCCTTCTCACCAGCCTTGTCGAGCATTGTACCCTCCAAGCTGAGATAGCTAGTCTCACCGCTAGTGCCGACGTCGAAGTTGCGTATCCGGAAGCGAATCTTGCCCTTAACTTTGTCGCCGTTGCCGTCGGCCCAGAAACCGGTGCTGTGGATTTGACGAACTACACCGTGATCGTCGGCGGTGATGACTGAAGCGGTCTCCTCGAAGCCTTGAGCCTCGGGGGATTCGTTGGGAACCCACTTCCAGTCGGGAGGAAGTCGACGAGCTTCAATTGAAGCGTTGAACTTGCCAAAGCAAACAACACCAATGTGTCCCTCAGTCTGCAAATTAACACTGCCCTCCATCCAAGCACCGCGACTCGGCACGAAAAGGTCAACATCGGCAGTAATCCAGCCAAAGCCAACAGCAGACTCGCCCTTGGCCATGACAGTCGCCGGCGACTCATCATCCGTAGCCGCGCCCTTTCGTCCAGGGTTTTCGCCGAAAGCAACATTCTTGTAGTCGAGAAGAACACCGCGCAGCGAAGGCACGTACTTGTTTCGGAGATGTGAGAGGTGCTGTTGCTGGCAGTTTGTGACAGGCTGTGCCCAGCCAATGGGGAAGAGAGGCTCGTAGAGTGACACGGTCTGTGTGAAGAAGGGGAATTGAGGGTTCGCGGGGATATCGGGTGGTTGGTAAATGTTGCTGCTCGACTTTGAAGGTTTGGCGGGAGGAGGCATGTCAACATCCATAGCGTCAGGGTCGGCGGGTGAAGCATCCTCTTCGGGCTCAACAGCGGTCTCGTTCTTCTTGGACTTCTTGGGTCGCTCTGCAATTTCTATCGCTTCGGTTTCCTTGTGCTTCTTGCTCTTCTTCTTCTTCTCGCTGTCCGCTACAACCGGGGTATCGGCCTCTTCTGTAGCTGCAACTTCCGCATCATGATGCTTCTTCTTCTTATGTTTCTTCTCCGGCTTATCCTCTACCGCTGGAGCTTCAGTCTCTGGTTGCGCGACTGCATCTTCGGCATGCTTGTCCTTCTTGCTCTTCTTCTTTTTCTTCTCGGCCTTCAGATCGCTGCTGGCTTCAGGTGCTTCTGCGGCAGCGACGCTCTTTGACTTTTTATGCTTTCGCTCTGTGTCGGCAACTGCATCTTCTTCTCGGGCTCGCTTCTTCTCCTTTTTCGCCTTCTTTTCAGCCTTGGAAGCGGCGGGGTCAATTGGCGCCATTGTTGTGTCGGGCCTGTTGCGAAGCTATCGCGGTCGTATGGTATTGAAGAAGCCGAAGAGACTCGAAAAAATTAAATTCTGGCTTATCTTATCGTAGAGTTCAGCGAACTCACCGAGTTTGGTGGGGCTTCACCATGTTCACCTTGGGTTCGGATTTTGACTACCCTACAGCACGTATCTTTGTCCTCATTCTATAGCCAAGGACCACTATCGCTCCCATTTCACGTGCCCTCTGACTAACTCTATGATTGCAGACTCTACCGTATTCTTTTTTTTCGTTCATGTTTTCGACCCTCTGCAGAATTGGCACATTAGATGTGCAATTGGCTGTTGAAGTCTTGTTTGTTGGGCAACCCACCGGGCTGATTGACAACAATAGGCGCTAGCCTAATGCACACAATCAACAAGTAACTTCAACCTTGCATCTTCGGAATAAAATACCGCAGTCGAGGAAAGACAGTTCAACCCGGATGAATATACGGCCTCGGCAAAGTGAGATACCTGGTGGATGCCCAAGATTACAACGACCACTACGATAACTAGAGAGTTTGAGAGTTAATGATCAAGAGGGCAACTTGCCGGTTGGCCGTCTAGTCCAACGATGAGAGCACACATATGGGAATCGAGCGAGTAAGGTCTTTATCATGACACTTAGAACAACATCACAAGACCTGCCCTCACACCATCTCAAGTTATCTAGCCAAAGACCGATCACGGAGGCATTGCCACCTGGAAGTCTCCATGATCAAGAAGTTAACTGCACTCATGCACGATCAACATGTCAAGGACTCGATCTATCTGCGGTCCACAGGGAACTGTCAAGCTTGCATAGGAGATCAATAGTTCGTATTTCCCCAGACGATCGTGAGTGGGGGTGATATACAGGAGTTCCCAATGTACGTCGGAACGGCCCTTCAAGCACCGGAGTGTCGACGGAGAATACGAGCGTGGGCCAATTCCACAATACCCCAGATATTGAAGTCAAGGGATTGTTCAGTAGGAAGATCTAGTGAAGTCTTGTTCATCTGCGCTCGAAAGAAGGGTCCTGAGAGTCATGGTTCGGAGAAAGCAACAAGATGCAGACAACAGCGAGATGCCCGGACCAACAACGAACAATACTTTCTGCGTTATCGGAACCACAAACGCTCTAGATTTCTGCGAAAGCCATTCTCACCATGAATCGCCTGACTTGCATGACGAAGGAATGTCCATGTAGCCGATGCATGAGCCGAGAACCTAGCATCATAGACCAAGCTGGAAGGTAAACAATGTGTTGAGAGTCCACCTTGATGTTTGCAGCCACCATGTAAAGCACCATGCGACCGAATCACAGCAATGCATTCATACTCGGTCAACAAGTACAAACCTGACTCAAAAGTTATCCAGACTCTGTTTAGAAGGTCAAGTGGAGAAGACACTACGAAGCGAAGCTTGTGTTGTTGAACGGCCGGACAACCGTCCATAACCTAGCAATTGATGGCGTGCTGGACGGCGCCTGTGACGGTTCTACGAGGCGTACATAACGGAAAGAATGTGATTGTGTACAAGATCGGCCAGAACCGGCGGACAGGTAACTCGGAGGCTGGTAGAGGGTTGGAACTCTATCTCAACCGAGATTTACTTTCTAGAACGACGAGCAGAAACATGGAAGAGGCGAAAGAAACGTGCGTGGAAGATGTCATAAACGGCCGTGTCAGTCGTGATAGTGTGTGGTGAATGCCGGTCGGAAATAGCTTTCTATTCTGGTTAACAAAGCCGCAGAGTTTCAGTCTTTGAATCAGAGGCTTTTTTGTCTCCTCGAGTCAAAGAGAAAGTCAAAGATGAATGGGAAGTGTCAAGTGCCATGTGGTTTGGCTGGTGCCTCTGCCGCGGTCAAGTCTTGAAAGGGTCTCGCGGTCCGCCCTACAAGCTTCAGCCACCAGTTCTCGAGCCAATGGCGTTCTAGTCCAGAGGTCTGCTCTTTATCCCACGGAATACTTTCTGGATTTGTGTAGGTGCGGAACTGTGTGAGTGGGTTCTCTTTTCTCTTATTAAAGCCGGGCGAGAAAAAGCCCGAAAATCTGGAAAGCCGCTAAAGTGCTTCGTCTAAGAGGAGAAAGGAAAACCTTGTTCTGGCCCCCATCATCAAGAAACTCCACAACGACGAGACACAGTTTGTGGGTGCAATTGTGGAAAAAAGGTGCGCACAGTATGAATGACAAGCTGAAAAGAGCACAGTACCTCTTGGAGAGAGTGATGATGAATGAAGCCTTGGCTTGCTGGTTCGGCCAATTGCACTGGCAATACTTGCAGGAATAAGACCAAGATGACGACTGCAAGATGATTGTCTATGATTCGTCGTGTGCCTTGGAAGAAGAGCGGTTGATGAAGCGGGAGTTATGGCCTCACCCTGACTTGACCACCTCAGGCCAACAGTACTGTACAGTACAAGAACGCGGGTCAAATTGCCTTGTCTTACTGTGACGTGGTCAAGCCCTCAATGTTTGATGTTTCTTGTGAAGCCCTCCATCACAGAAGCTAACAGGACATGACAGGCAGGCTCCCGTCAATAGATGCCCAGATTTATTGGCATGATCGACAATTAATTAAGAAAACAGAGGAATGTTTGGCATGTTTCCTCCACAAACACGAAGAATAAATAAAACAAGCTTATCGGCTTCCCGCTGCGAGCCGTCTGTGGCATTGACTGCTCAAATGCTTGGCAATCACGATCATCACCAGGTCCAATTTCAAAGCACTCATCGGCGAAATTATTATACAGAACATAAGGTACTGTACAGTCTGCCTTGAGGATGGTACTTTTGACAAGTCCTAGATGACTCTGCAGACGCTGTAGTTGGTTGGATGAGTTTTCATCTGATCCACCGTCTGGGAACCTGAGGCATTTGGCATTTCTTGGTGGTGCTGTTGTGTAGCGCGACCATTTTGGACGGTGCCTGCATCCGTACAGTATCACAATCACAGTGTCAGCGTTGAGTTGTCAGGCAGACATTTCTCGATATCAGGCATACAAAACTCAGAGCCTCGATCGTGGCGCGAAGCATGCTGCACGTATCGTGGGCCTGCAGAGTTTTCGCTCCGTTTTCTGCTCCGTCCGCCTAGTACCATCGTCCGTCAGTTATTCACCTCTATAGCCTGAGAAAACGGAGCGCGCGAATAACTACACTGCTACATTAATCCACTCACACTTTATTCTAGATTTCGGAGGTATAATCAATGACACGACTCAAAGAAGTCATGCGATCGATCGATTACCGTGTCCAAGGCTGAGAATACGGCAATTGATAGAGGTTCCTGAGGCTCAGACAACGCTCGAATGCAACTGACATGGGTTTGCTCAGGCACAAGAACAAGGGGGGGCCAACTGGCGAGGAAGGATCAGGCACAGCGTGCCATCGTGCCAGGCACAAAACCAGTCAGAGCCCAGGGCCCGACACCTCAAACCTTTGAGTGTGTGCATCTGCCGCCGTGCCGGGTCCCTGACTAACGCACCGTGCCTAAGACTTTCAAATGAACTTCACTTTCATCCACTGAGACATTTTCCGGAACCCTACCAGAAGACACCCGGCCACTGGCTGCCCTTGGGTCTACCACACCATGTTCCTCTGTAGCCTCTATCGGCAGCGTGCCGAGCGGAGACAACTGAAAACTTGGACCCTCACATCAAGAATGGTCCCTCTTGACTAGTGAACTTGCCCCCATGTTCTGTCCTCGCGAATCATGTCGCCTGTTTGTTTCCTCTCACTGACTCTGACTCTGGGGACCTGATGGGTCTAATGCTTGCACCCGAGTTCCACTCCTCCATAAACTTCAACTCCAGAGCCACGTCTAAGCTGTTTCGCCTCGATGCATGTACACGCAGCCCTTTGTCTCCTAGACACATGCACATACCCTGGCTAGCTTCTCCCTTTTGCAAAAATTGTAAATTGATTCCCCGAGATCTCAGGATGTACCTCCGGTTGACAGGACCTTGTGGAGAGCCGCTCTGCTCTCATGCTCGATCTCATGTATGTATATAAACTCCCGTCTCATCCACCTCTAATGCAAGATCTCTCCTTTGATTCAGCACACACTCTCTTGTGAGATTCCTTCCTTTTATCCAACATCTTCATACATTCACTCGGCTGGCCGTCGCTCCAGACCTTGATCTGAGATCAGTCCTTACAAACACAAACACTCTCAACTTGCCCATTCATTCCCTCTCTCCGCCGTGCGTTGAGATATAAACAAGTCGAGCCAGTCTCCAGAATACTACACACAACTTCCAAAGTATATAAAAAGTCAACAACTTTTTCTCTACAACACCGTCAACATGTTCTCCAAGTTCACCACCATCCTCGCTGCTGCTTCTGCTGCCCTGGTCTCTGCCGGCCCTCTCCCCCGTGGTGACTCCGGCTCTGCCAGCATCACCCCCCACGACCAGTACTCCAGCAGCATTGGAGTTCTCGGCTGCAAGATCAACACCAACCGCGTCGCCTACTGGCCCGGTTCCGTTGACTGCAACAACATCTGCGTCAAGGTCTCCCACGAGGGCCGCTCTGTCTATCTCCTCAAGATCGACTCCTCCGGCGGTGCTCACGACATCTCCTACGATGCCTGGAACTACCTTGGCTTCGGCGAGTCTGCCACCAAGGACCCCCAGGAGGGCGGTGGCATCGCCATGGACTACGAGTATGTCCACGCCTCCAAGTGCAAGGACATCCTCGACAAGGGCAAGCTCCCCCTCGCCGCCGCCAACTCCATGAATTACGTCGCCTCTTGCCTCAGCGAGCCCAAGAGCTGGGTCGCCCAGAACTACGTGCTCTACAACATCAACGACCCCGTCTGCAAGTACGGTGTTAACGAGAAGTGCCACCTCAACCTTGCCGTCAGCAACCAGCCCGAGTGCCCCAGCGGTCTCGGCTCCGTCAAGGAGCTCAACCTCAAGGTCGAGAACATCCTCTACGGCTCTGGCAAGAAGGTCGCTGCTCAGTAGATGACAACACAACGCATGTCTTATGTCTTACATGCTATGATGATCACAATAGAAAATCGCCGCCCTAGCAGATAGATGCAGGGAGCGTATCACTCGCTACGACTGATATGAAACTTTTGGAAATGATACACAGGATACAGGAAGGAAAAAAATGTTTTTGTTTTACATTCACTTCTCATGTACATACTTGATGAAATGTCAATACATTACCATCTACCTCACTTTGCTTTTGCCAATTCATTTGTGTGACCATATAAAAGTGACAGCCTCAGCGCTTAAGACCACTGAGACATCATCCCTTCGACTGGCCTCAGAGTGACTTAACTTGCAGTAATTGCTTTTGCATGTGTCACTTTTCAATTTATCGCAATGCCTCTTATGACACAGCACTTAAAAGGCATGTGGCTGGATCGGTATTTACACAGATCTATGACAACGTGTAAGATAGAGCTCGAAGTAATTTTCTCAACTGCATGCCGTGGCTTATTGAGATCTGTTTCTTTCCCCAACTGATACTCACAAACATCGATGAATAACTCAATCGCGATCAGGAACACCACGTTGTTCTGATCCTTTCGATTGGGAGGTCTTTCACTGGCCCCTTGGCGTGATGTGGCTTACATCCTCAGCCTCCCAGCCCCCTCAGGCTCAGCCCTTACCTTAAACTCCCCCTGATGAGGTATTTCCACAGCCCTCCAAGCTCTAGCACACCCGTGCAGTCAGCATCTTATCCTTGCCACTCTTTTCTTCTTTCTTCCTTGGAACTGTACAGTATGAAGAGCTGTTCTTCCAAGGCGCGTAGGGCCAGCATTGACCAGTGGGGATGAGCAAGCCACGTGCAAAAGGATCACCAAGGCACAGTCGGACCGGCAGGGCTATCCTTCAGCGTCATGCTTCTTTCACAGCGATCGACATTATCTGCTTCGCTGTCTCTGCAGCTTTCAATGATACTTCAGCCAAGAAGGTCCTGTTATTAAACCTAAAGAAACAATCACACCGCTCCAGCGCTTCGGCAGTTTGCTATGTGTTCAGGGGTGCAGCCGGGAGGTAACGCCAGCCCTATCAGCTTCAGCTAGCTACGTGTTTGTCTGTCTGCGCACTCATGAAACAGGGGAAACAGAACAAAGAAACAACCGGTTCATCCCCTTGTTTTCGTGGAGTGACAACTATGAGTTTCTGCCACGGCGCTTAGGCATACTGTAACGCTGGACCTGCATTAGGGCTGATATGGCCTTGTTTCATCCCTTCTTTGATGACAGGCCGCTTCGTGCGAGGGAGTGAAGTGTTTGTCGCTGATGAGGGGTGGTCTCGTGAGCTTCCGTAATGTTTGTCTGAGCCTCTGAGGGGATCGTGGTAGTAAACGGCGGCGAGACCGTTGGATGCTTGGTAAACGGTCGCGGTCTTGGCATGAGTTTGTCAACGCCATGGTGCTGGGTTACCCTAAAGCTCTTTATTTTCGAGAATCAAAGGCTCATCTATAGCAATTGCGCAGCTTAATGTTCATTGGTGACTTATTAAACATTGACAAATGATATCTGCTGTATTTCTTTCTTGTTATTTTCCCAGTTTTGGGTGGCTGTTATATAAGTACCTTTAAAGCAGCGTGAGATGTTGGAATAGCTTCAATCCTTACATTCAGTCCCAACTCTATCTTTTTCTTTGGCCACCAAGTTTATTGATCATGACGAAAACTCAAAGCTTGGAAAGTCAAAGACGTCATGATTTGAGTCAAACAACTTGCAATGACATATTGGTCCTCTTATATAGCGGAATTCCCCTTACCCGACAGCACAACTGGAAGAGTTCACATGCGGAGCGGATGATTATCCGCATGTTTCGGTTACTGACTCAGAATCATTGGTGGATTGGAAATGCTTACAGAGACTCTCCCGTCAACGGCGCCCCGCTCGCCGGCCTCGGCCGCTTTCGCCGAGGTTCTCTAGACGCATGTTCCGTGAAAGTTCCGTCCTTGAGCTCGAGGCAGTCAATTGTAAGCATATCATTGATTCAAAAGATATTATTCACTAAAATGTTATATTTGATGAGCTTCAATAGTTAAACTAATGTCATTGCCCGTACCCGTAAACATACTGTCACCACCTCGGATACAATCGATATATTCAGGGTCCAACCCCGCGGCCAAATTGTCATGAGCGCGCGCGATGGAAATGTCGTAGAATCCGATGACTAATGAGACCAACCCTGTTTTGTACCCTTGAATTGAAGCAACCCCACCATTCTGTCAAGTCATGGTTCCGCAAACTATCGCCATACACAGAACTACACTGCTCAATCCATTGCTTCAACACAACAGGCTACACACGACCACTCTGTATACCCAATTACCTCTCTCTCACTATCGTAACACCGACTTCACCTCCCACCGATCGATGCGCATTTAGCGAACCGCTCCGCCCGAGTTTGCGACACTTGAATCCGAATCCCCCAAAACCCGATCGCGGCGCCGTCCTTGCCCGCCTCAAGCCAGAACATGCCGTCTGATACCATGACAGGCTCACCGGCGGGCTCCAGCTCAGCTCTGCCCTCCTTCTACTCCCCCAAGACAGAGGCCGCAGATGCTTCCACCTCGCACAACGAACAGTCCCTTGAGCAATCCATAGACTCATTATCACTCTCCCCCGCTCCCTCCACTCCCGCCTCCGCTTCCGTCTCCGCCCACCCCGATCCCGAGACGCCGATCGGCCAAGAACCTCCGCCTTCACTGCTCTCGCCATCGTTCACACCTCCCTCTACACCCGGTACCTCTACACCGTCAACTCACGGTCTTCGCGGTGTTCCCGTCGACAGCTCCATTCCTTCCGGAGGATGCGGATCCAAGAAACCCAAGCTCCTGCAGACTCTCCCGGAGGTCGAGTGCATCGTTCGTGCTCGTATTCCCACGGTAGCGGGCACAGAGATGTTCTTGCACCTGTACACGAACAATGTGGATAACAAGGAACACCTTGCTATTGTGTTTGGCAACAATATCCGAAGTAAGAGTCTAGATGCTGTTCGAGAGGGCGAGACCGAGATGGACCGCATGGTGCGCGGCGCATACACAGGCAGACTGTTCCCCGGTCGCACAACAAGTGGTGTCGAATCAGCAGCGCCCCAAGAGCAAGAGCCACCGCAGCCGTCAGACCAGCCTCCCCTGGTGAGAATTCACTCCGAGTGCTACACAGGTGAGACAGCATGGTCAGCGCGATGCGACTGCGGCGAGCAACTCGACGAAGCTGCTCGCCTGATGAGTCTGCCTGGTAACAAGGCTGGTGGCATTATTATTTACCTGCGACAAGAGGGTCGTGGAATTGGTCTCGGCGAGAAGCTCAAGGCCTATAACCTTCAGGATTTGGGATCTGATACTGTTGAGGCGAATTTGTTGCTGCGACATCCTGCTGATGCTCGAAGCTATGGCTTGGCTACGGCTATGTTGCTTGATCTTGGACAGCCGGAGATTCGATTGTTGACCAACAATCCTGACAAGATTCGCGCAGTTGAGGGTCCCAATAGAGAGGTTGTGGTCAGGGAGCGCGTGGCTATGGTTCCTCTGTCCTGGAAGGGTCGTGGAGGCTTCAGGAGTCAAGAGGTGGAGGGCTATCTCAAGACCAAAGTATGTTGCAACAAGACATCCCAATTGCCTATGAGTTGTCAGCTAACAATGCATCACAGATCGAGAAAATGGGCCATATGCTCGATATGGCAGCGCTCCCACAGTAGACTATCAAGACATAACGAAATATACCAAAATGGAAGATATTGTTTGGCTAGGAGCTCTTTCTTGTCATCATTGAATGGAGTTTATCGTCGTTCTTTGGGATTGATTGATGGCGTTGGCGGCAGAGGCTTGATATATAGGTAGACAAAATCACATCCAATATGTTTGAGGCTGCACTTTGCATGATGACTTGAGTCACTGGTGCATTGTTGGTGGACAGGCTCAGGATACCAGACGCTGGCTATATCATAAGGTTGCTATCATTTATTATAAGACCTCTCTTTTCGACCGAACGAGATGTTTGTTATCCAAGAATGAAACAATCTTGGCTCTGTATCATCTAAATCAGTTGGTGTTGCACTGGTATAAGAGGTTCATCCTTCCACCCATACCACTTTCTTGGGAACAAGACGTCCTTTGAGGTTTAATAATTTGAGCCAGTAAATCGCAAGAGAATCTGAAGCTATACAACAATTTTCGCTAGAAAATGGAACAACTTGATAATCGACAGTTTAATGTCCTTTCCGCACTTTCATTTCCGAAATGGTCAACCCTACCTAGGTAAACGGTTGTCGTTGATAGTGGGTCGGGCCTTGCCGCTGAAGGTGCTGCTGTGACGATTTTACAGGCCTAGCTCTTTTCTCTGCAGGCGCGTGTCAAGCTTCTTCAAAATCGCATCTTCAACTTCTTTTCGCGCCCAATTTTGCATTTCGTCACCGAATTGGTTCATATTTTTTCCTTACGCTTCTATTATAATCATGCTATCATAAGATAAAAAGAATACCTCCCATAATGTCCACAAAAATTCGTTTGCGGCTCGTCATCCGCAGACATGCAGTCCCCGAAGTCAAGCTCGTATGGCCTTGCGTCGCAAACGACGATTTGACTGTGGCGAGGCTCCTCGCACTGGTCAACGAGGTAGTGCCGCTTGAGAGTGGTGACTGGGGTCTCGAGGACTATGTTGTCGAGCTGTATGATGGCAAGGGCGATAGTTTCGAGCTGCTACATTTTCAGCCTGTTGGCAAAGTTTTGAAAGAGGATGATCAAGTTTTGTACGACCTGCAGCTCTTTCTTCGATATCTTTACACGCTAACCGTCTTACAGAATAAGGTCACTTTCTACCGACGATCTACGACGACGAAAACTCAGCGGCCGACACCAGATATCCTACGACGGAAAGCATCTTATCGATGGACTTGCTTTTGGAAGGCCGTGGTTACGAGCGCCACGCGATCGTCCGGCACTTGACCTACCACCTCGAAAACGAGCACGAATCACGCATGAA